TAAGGTCTCTCTTGAGAAATCTGCTGACAGTCTGATGGGAACTCCTTTGTAGGTGACTGTCCCCTTATCTCTTGCTGCTTCTAGAATTCTCTCCTTCATTTTAATCTTGGCTAATGTAATGATGATGTGCCTTGGTGTGTTCCTTCTTGGGTCCAACTTCTTTGGGACTCTCTGAGCTTCCTGGATTTCCTGGAAGTCTATTTCCTTTGCCAGATTGGGGAAGTTCTCCTTTATTATTTGTTCAAATAAGTGTTCCACTTGTTGCTTTTCCTGTTTCCCTTCTGGTACCCCTGTAATTCGGATGTTGGAGCATTTAAAGATGTCCTGGAGGTTCCTAAGCCTCTCCTCATTTTTTAAAATCTTGTTTCTTCATCCTTTTCTGTTTGGTCATTTTTTTCTTCCTTCTGGTCCACTCCCTTGATTTGAGTCCCAATTTCCTTTCCATCACTATTGGTTTCCTGTGCATTTCCCTTCATTTCAATTAGTTTAGCCTTCATTTGTTCCTCTAATTTGTGACTAAAATCAACCAGTTCTGTGAGCATCCTGATCACCAGTGTTTTGAACTGTGCATCTGAAAGTGTGGCTATTTCTTGGTCGCTGAGAGTTATGGGCTCTGGGGCTTTGAGTTCTTCTTGAGCCATGCTTTTGTCTGTTCACGCCTGTTCTGTATGAGGAGCGGATCCTTAGTTGTTCACCAGGGCAGGGCTACCCATGTCTCTGGTTTGTGACGCCGTATGGAGGGGCGGGGTCAAAGAGGGGCAATGGTGGTCCTCTCTGTTGCTTCCCGCTGCTGGGGCCTGCACGGTATGTCTCACTGCTCTCTCCTTCTCTGGTTTGTCTGCACGCCAATGTGTGACTGCAGTCAGCCAGCTGCCTTGTGCCCTCACTGGGTCCACCCATTGCTACTCCACACCTGGGATCTGCCCTCAGCTGCCTGAGCTCCTGGGTCAGGGCATCTTTTCTGCCCCACCCAGCTCCGCTGCTGGCTCCGCCCCTCTTCCCCGTTTGGCTGAAGGGTTCTTTGTTGTCGGACTTCAGTATAGTTCAGTTTTCCTGTGTTTTGGCTGTGTTTTTTATTACTAAAACTTTGTTGTCTTTAAACTTGGTTGTGCAAAAAGGCACAGTGTTTCCACCTACACCTCCATCTTGGTGGAAGTCTCTCTGCTAGAGTTTTTAACTAACAGATGTGTCCACACTGTGCTTCCAGCAATTCATATAGTTCAAGTTTTTATAATCTGGCACTAGTTCTGAAGGGTGTTTCTTGAGGTTTTCTCCTCCTATAATTTTTGATTCTTTGTATCCACCTGTATGTATCTCCAATTTGGGGGAAAACAATTTGCCTTTTGCCCTTACTTCTCTGTCAGACATAAGAAGTCATTGATTTTTTTCGGTTTGACTTTTACTTGTTAGGAAGAAATGGCAACTTCTAAGTCCCCTTATTACAACAGACTTAAAACTAGAGGTCAAGTCATGTATTCTTGAAGTCATGTATTTGTTACTTATGTTCTTTTTTCAGTATTGTTTCGGTTGTTTTAGAGGGTTTTTATTTTCATGTAAATATTAGAATCAGTTTACCAGCTATTATAATTGGCATTGCCTTTTAAATTTCATTTTTCAATTGTTTGTTTCCATGGAATAAAAAAACAATTGATTTCTTTTAGTAATGTTTTCTCAGACCTGACGGACTCATTACTTACATTAGTTTTTTTATTGTTTTCCTCATATTTTCTGTTGATCATCGTGCCATTTGCAAATAGGAATAGTTTGATTTTCTCCTTTAAAATTCTTTTTATTTTTTTACTTTGCTTAATTTCTCTAAGTCTTCCAATATTAAATATTGAAATATTGAAATATTAAATAGAAGTGATGAGAGTGACATTTTTATTTCTTCTGATCTCAGGGGTGTTGAATGTTTTGCCATAAAGTTTGGTGTTACCTGTAGGTTTTTCATAGTTTTTCTTACCAAATGAAAGAGATTTCCTCCTCTTTTAATATTCTTGTGATTTTTTTTTTGTTATTATGAATGGATATTGAATTTTGTCCAATATATGTGCACTTATTAAGATGATCACATGGTTTTTCATTGATTCATTCTTCCATTTATCTATTTATTTTTTAATTTAAAAATTTTTAAGTTAAACAATGGTTTTATAGCTTGAGTACAGACATTTTATGTAACCAGAGCAGAGGCTGTGGATGACTTGTATTTCCAATTGGGAGGGAGGAGTCATTTAGCCTTACAATATTGAACCAATGGTGAATATGGCTCTCAATCAGAATCAGATGGAATTTAGCATCCTTATCCTTTCTGTTTCTCTCAAGATGCTTTTGAACAACAACAGCTTTCTTAATTAAATGGAGAGATCCTTAAGAAGATCAGGAGGAAGTCCTTTGGAGTTAAGAATTCTAAAGATTTTATTGCCTGTCACAAAATGTACTTGTGCAATGCCATGTGAGTCTCTCAGGATCACCCCAATGTGTGAGGGAGCTAGGCCCTTCTTGGCCAGTTGGTAGATCTTCTCCTTCATGTCATCAGATATCAGTTTCAGCTAGGTGCGGATGCTGTGGTGGTAGGGCACAGCCGACTGGGACAGGCCCTTTCCAGGAGTGTGCATGTGACCCATGATGGCAGAGGACAGAGAGTCTAACCTTACTGACTGATTTAATGCTGTTAAAGCAACTTTGCATTCCTGCGGCAGACCTTAATTGATGATGATGATGATTATTTTTATTTTTTATTTTTAAAGATTTTATTTATTTATTTTTAGAGAGAGGGGAAAGGAGAGAGAAAGAGAGGGAGAGAAACATCAGTGTGTGGTTGCCTCTTGAGTGCCCCCAGCAGGGGACCTGGCCCACAGCCCTTGCATGTGCCCTGACTGAGAACTGACCTGGTGATTCTTTGGTTCACAGGCCAGCGCTCAATCCACTGAGCCACACCAGTCAGGGATGATTATTATTTTTTATACATTGCTGAATTCCATTTTTAAATACCTCATTAAGCATTTTTGTGTCTATGAGGTGTATTGTTTTATAATTTTTTTCTTGTAGTAACTCTTACAAGTTTTAGATTAGTTTTATCCTAGCCTGCTAATAGAAGTTGGCAAGTATTCCTGCTTTATTTTCTGAAGGAGTTTGTGCAAGACTGGTGTTTTTTCTTCCTTAAATGTTTGATAAAATGTATTGGATAATGTTGTGTGTAGATTTTTGAAAACAAGTTTGATTTCTTTGAAAAATTCAAATTTATTCATATTTTCTAATGATCTTGTGTCAGTGTTAGTAAATTGTGGTTTTCAGGGATTTTGTCCATTTCGTCAAAGTTTCACTTATTGATATAAAATTGTTCCCAATATATCATTAGTATAGTTTCGATCTCTAGGGAAGTCACCTTTTCCATTCCTGATATTGGCTTGTTTTGTTCTCTCCCTCTCCTACTTCCTTTCTTTACCCTTCAGCATATTGTTGGAGGTTTAGCTATTTCTCTTATCTTTTCAAAGAACCAAATTTTGGCTTTTTAATTTCTATTGTTTGTCTCTTTTTTATTGCACTGATTTATACTTTTATCTTTATTATTTCCTTCCTTCTATGTAATTAGAGTTTATTTTCCTTCTCTTTTTCTAGGTCATTTCTATGGAACTTCCATTATTACTATTAACTCTTTTTTATTTTCTAATAAAAACATTCAAACTATAAATTTCTCTCAAACCTATACATTAACTGTATCCTGGACGTTTTGATATGTTGTTATATTTTTATTACCCATTAGTTCAAAATACTTTTTAGCTTTCCTTGTGATTTCTCCTTTACCCAAATGTTAGGCTGTGTTTACTTTTTTTTTTCAGATATTTGGAACTTTTGTAAATATTTTAGTATTAATTCCTAATTACTCCATTATGGTCTGATAACATACTCTTACGATTTCAATTTTGAAATTTATTTAGGCTTGTTTTATTTATTAACATATGGTTCATCTCTATGATCTTGTGCATACTTTATGTATACTTAAGTTATGTAAACTATAATTGAACCTTCACTGGAAGGTCAGACTTAGCTCATGCCCTGGCACATGATCTTGAAAAGAATTTAGCCTGTTCTGGGATGAGGGTGAAATTTTCAGAAGTATATTGATAAAAATGTAGAGAGAGGTACTAAGAGAATTTTAAAATTCTGTAGAATATGTTTTATGCTCCCAGCGTTTGATGTAACAAAATATGGGCTCATTTTCTTTTGGCCAGAAGAAAACCTGAGAGGATAAACTAGAGGAGTTTTGTTTCCAGAGTAGCACTTATCCTACCTGTCCAAATGACATACATGGACAAGAAGAGGTTTTTTTTTTTTTTTTCTGTGTGCCATATAAATGGGCAGACCACACAGAGATTGTAGAAATAGATCAGAATGGAAGAGGAAGCAATAGCCAATATATGAAGCATAAAAAGAGTAAAGGTTAAAAAAAACAGTAAAGCTTTTGATTAACTTTAGAGTTGGAATAATGTAAGATTCCATGTTATGGACTATACTTCTATGTAATCAGACATTGGGTAAACTTCAAACAAATCAAGTAGCATGGGGAAAGTCTTTCTAACCAGAGATCAAATTCCATAAGCTGTAAGAATTATATATTTGATTATTAAAAATGAATGTTAGTAAACAAAAGTGAAACTTCCCTAATGTACAGACCAGAACAAAAGCAATTCTAAAAGAAAAACAACATACAAGAGGCAACTTATCAGTGTTTCTCTTTCACATTGATGTTTGTCTCCCTCTCTCTCTCCCCCCATCTAAACCAGTAAGCTTGTCCTTGGGTGATGATAATAGAAAAGTTTATGGAGTATGAATCTCAATAAAGCAATCGTGAGAAGAAATTTGTAGTAGAGAAAGTTTGTGGGAAAAATCTGTACTTAAACGTATATGCTACTTTAAAAGATATTGTGTATATAAACATACATGTTATAAAGTATATATTATTGAAGATAAATGTTTGTGTTATTGATGTTATTTTACAGGTATTGGTTTGCCTTGAAAAAGGGGTATTATGTGGCTTTCAAATATAGCAACAAAACTGATAACTTCATAGAAGAACAAATTGATCCACATAAAGAAGCTATAGATACAATGACTGATTTGAGCATGCTCAGGCTATTTGAAACCTACTTGGAAGGCTGTCCACAACTTGTTCTTCAGCTCTATATCTTTCTGGAACATGGTCAAGCAAATTTCAGTCAGTGTAAGTCTTTCTTAATAGCCTTTGTTAGATGGATGCCATTGAGGTCTTAAGGGAAGTACATTAACTCTTTGGTAGGTTTTAGAACTTTTAAATTATTTTTATTTATAAAATTATTTATTTTTTAAAAAGAAGTACATGATTTAAATATTTAAAAATATATAAATACATGTTTTCTTCCCCCTTCCTTTGCCCAGAAGGGACACTGTGGTCAAGTTTTTGTTGCTTCTTCCAGAAAAGTTTTTTAAAAAACCTATATTAATTCTCTCTTTGTCTGTTTTTCTGTCTCTCTCTTTGTTCCTCCCTCTTTCTCTTCCCCTCTCTTCCCTTCTTTTACAGAAATGTAACATAAGATAAAAACTGTCTTTGATTTTTGCACTTAACAGTATATCTTAGAGATCTATCTACAACTGTACAGAAAGAGCTCCCTCATTCATTTGTATTACCTGCATAATATTACAAATTATGGACATATCATGATTTATTAAACAAGCCCCTTTTATATTAATTTAGGTTGTTTCTATTTTACTATTGCAAAAATAGTGCAATGAATAATCTTATGCATGAGTCATTTTGCATGCGTGAAGTATATCCATAGGGTAAATTTCCAGAATTGGAATCATTAGATGAAAGTGCAGGTGCTACAGAACTCATGAAAGTTGGCCAATATGTTGCTCTATTATAGCATATCTCCTTATTAGGGTAAGATATTCAATGTTAAAGGACAGTTTGATATTTCCATTAAAAACTTTTAATAGGTGTTCAATTTGAAATGTTAATTTTTTTTTTGTTAAATGATAGTTTCACTTTTCGTTAATGACTAAGGTTGCATGCAGACTTGGATTAAAATCAGAGGACCAGATTGTCCTCTTTCTTGGAGTTCCCACTATGCTAGACTCACCTGTGAGATCCTCTCATTCCCCTGAATAGCCTTTCTGTTCCTAATTTCCCATAAACCTCTAGATTTTAGTCCCTTCTAATATTATTATTTTTACTTTGGTTGTTAGTAAGACACTGAAATGAATGTACTGTGTATGAGATCTCTTTTTCCTTGTGATACAAATAATTTGTGAGTTGGGACTTCGATGTTCTGTGTCATATAGTTACTGAAACTAGAAGTTCTACATTTCAGTTTATAGCCTATCTTATGATAGATTTGCTGATGATTTCAAATAGTTCATAACATCTAGATCAGCAGTGGGATCCAGTGACTGTTATCTTCATATTATGGTTCTATCCTCATTGCTTAGTTTCTCCTTGAAGCAAGAAGTTGGGGTATTAGTTAAAAATAGTAAAAAAATGACTTCTTGCCAAGATGGAGGCGTAGGTGGAAATACTGTGCCTCCTGGCACAACCAGGTTTAAAGACAACAAACTTTTAGTAACAAAAATGCAGCCAAAACACAGAAAATTGAACTGTATGGAAGTCCAACAACAATGAACCGTTCAGCCAGACCAGTAAGAGGGGTGGAGTCAGCGGCTCTCCGAGCAAGGTCAGGCAGGAAAGATCCGACAGACAGACCCAGGAGTGCAGGTGGCGGTTGGCAGATCCCAGGGGTGGGTTGGCAATGAGCAGACCCAGTGAGGATGCAAGGAGGCTGGCTGACCACAGTCACACATTCGCGCACAGATAAACCAAGCGAAGGAGCCAGTGAGACCGACCGCGCAGGCTGGGGCACCAGCAACGGGAATTAGAGCCTGAAAACACCAATTGGAAAGATTTTCAGGGTTGAGGTGCCACAAGAGGCTCCCAGGCTCACGGAGAGTTTGTTGGAGAGACCCACGGGGTCCTGGAGGGTGCATAGGCCCACACACCCGGGAGTCTGTACCACGGGGGCTGGTTTTGCTTGCTGGAAGCAGCACAGGGGACCAAGGTCCAAGAGAGAGCAGGACAAATGCCATTCCCCCTCTCTGACCCGGCCCCCACATACAGTATCATAACCCAGCCACTGGGTGGCCCTACCCTGGTGAACACCTAAGGCTCCGCCTCTCATATGTAACAGGTGTGAACAGACCAAAACATTATGGCTCAAGAAGAACAGCTAAAAGCCCCAGAGCCAATACTTCTAAGCGACCAAGAGATAGCCAACCTATTAGATGCACAGTTCAAAACACTGGTGATTAGGATGCTCACAGAACTGGTTGATTTTAGTCACAAATTAGAGGAACAAATGAAGGCTAAACTAATTGAAATGAAGGGAAATGCACGGGAAACCAATAGTGATGGAAAGGAAATTGGGACTCAAATCAAGGGAGTGGACCAGAAGGAAGAAAAAAATGACCAACCAGAAAAGGATGAAGAAACAAGAATTCAGAAAAATGAGGAGAGGCTTAGGAACCTCCAGGACATCTTTACATGCTCCAACATCCGAATTACAGGGGTACCAGAAGGAGAAGAGGAAGAGCAACAAGTGGAACACCTATGTGAACAAATAATAAAGGAGAACTTCCCCAATCTGGCAAAGAAAATAGACTTCCAGGAAATCCAGGAAGCTCAGAGAGTGCCAAAGAAGTTGGACCCAAGAAGAAACACACCAAGGCACATCATCATTACATTAGCCAAGATTAAAATGAAGGAGAGAATCCTAGAAGCAGCAAGAGATAAGGGGACAGTCACCTACAAAGGAGTCCCCATCAGACTGTCAGCAGATTTCTCAAAAGAGACCTTACAGGCAAGAAGGGGCTGGAAAGAAGTATTCCAAGTCATGAAATGCAAGGACCTACATCCAAGATTGCTCTATCCAGCAAAGCTTTCATTTAGAATGGAAGGACAGATAAATTGCTTCTCAGATAAGATCAAATTCAAGGAGTTCATCATCACCGAGCCCTTATTATATGAAATGTTAAAGGGACTTATCTAAGAAAAAGAAGATAAAAAAGATGAACAGTGAAAGGACAGCAAACTCACAGTTATTAACAACCACACCTAAAACAAAAGCAATCTAAGAGGACAGCTAGATCAGGAGCAGAATCATAGAAATGTCGATCACATAGAGGGTTAGTAACAGGGGAGTGGGAGGAGGAGACGGGGGGAGAAGGTACAGAGAATAAATAGCATAGACAGTAGGTAGAATATAGATAGGGGGGAGGGCAAGAATAATATGGGAAATACAGAATCTAAAGAACTTGAGACACATGGTCATAAATGAAAGGGGGGAATGGTGAGAGGAGGGGTGTGCAGGGTGGAGGGGAATGAAGGAGGGAAATAGGACAATGGTAATGGCATAATCAATAAAATATATGTAAAAAATAGCAAAAAATCATAAATAATCTAATTGTCTAACAATAGAAGAATTGGTAAATAAGTTATTGTACACTGTTACAGTAAAAAATTGTGTACCCAGTGGAAATAGTGATAACTTTTAATGACATAGGTGAATAATTCTAAAAGAAAATTCAGGCAAAAAGCAGTTTATAAAAGTTTCTATCTGCATACTTTTTAGAATACAAAGTAATTATTATATAGAACAATGCCTAAAATTATTATATAAAAAATGTTAACTATAGATGCTTATGAGTGGTGGGATTATGAATAAATTTATTTAATCTTGTCTGTACTTTTCTGAATTTCCAAATATTTCTATTCTATTATATAGAGATTATTATATAGAACAATGCCTAAAATAAAAATATAAAAAATGTTAACTGTAGATGCTTATGAGTGGTGGGATTATGAATAAATTTATTTAATCTTTTCTGCACTTTTGTGAATTTCCAAATTTTTCTCCAAATACCATGTATTATTTTGATAATCAGGAAGAATAACTCAAACTGTTAAAAAAAAAAAGGCTACATATAGACGTACTTCAGAAGACTTAACATATTCTTTTATCTTTGCTCCTTCCTGAAACCACACTAATAAGGAGAGTAAAGGAATAAAATAATATAAATCCACAAAAACAAAGAGAACATAGAGTAGAATAGCAGATTAGAAATATCAAGAACTTGAATGTGGGAGAAAGGGGGTGGGCAGGGCAGGGGAAAGCAATGGGGGAAAAATGGGGACTACTATAATTGAACAACAACAACAAAAGAATTAAAAAATATCAACTGTTTAGAAGATGGAAAGCAGATGAAAAACTTGTTATTCAAATCAGCTTTATCACTGAAAGACTAAATTATTTGAATCAACCCCCACTCTGAAAATATCTACAAGTGTTGAATAAATATTTTCAAAAGCCTGCCTAGTACAATCTAATATAACAGGCCAAAATATGCAGTAAAGTAGGAACTCAGAAGGGGTGAGTGGGACTAACAAGGCATTTATACCCTGAGGTTTTTATAGAACATTATAAACAGCATATTCAGTTTTGATGGTTTCCCAGGGTGTCGAATGGCTAAAAACAAAACTCAGGGTCCTCACAAGGGAGGGATGTCTTGTAGAAAATTCTAATCCATAAAGCTAGATTGAATAACTTTTCATGGCCCTTTGTCAAAGTATACTCACATTGGTCAATGTAGGTGTAGCCAGGATACAGTTTTATAAAAGTTTCAGTTTTGACAGTCGGATTAATGACCATGCCTTTCTAAAGTAGTAATAAACTTCTGTTATTTGTTAGAGAAAAAAATGAGTAAAGATGTCATACCTATAGAAATTTGTAAGTTTTTTAGAACATATTTATTTGATCTTAAAGATACTGGGAATTGGGCTTGTTGGTACTCAACTCATACTTATGTTAAGTTCCTTTCCCCCCATGTTGTTTTTGGGAATTAGATACATGCCTAGGGTTGAAGCTCATAACTGTAGTGTCTCAGAGAATTTCTAGAGTATGTAGTTTTCACTATACCAGTTCCTAAAAGAAATGTGTCCAAGATTTGTACAATTTATTTAGAATCTTGAAATGCAGCCTAGTGCATTGGTGAAGTACAGTAACTTTGGACTTTGGCAGATTTAGATTCAAATCTCAACTGTCTGCAGCTTGCTAGCTGTATAACTTGGGTCAAATAATATATATTTTCTAAGCATTCTGCATATATATGAGAATATTCATACATCAAAGAATCAGATGAGATGAGTATATTAAGTGTCTGACGTGTTTTTGGGTGTGTGTAAATGCACATAAAGCATGTATGGCATATAGTAATTTAATATTGCTATTTTCTTTGCTCTAACAATATATGTTTTAAAATTTCTTTTGTTTGTTTTATAGATGCAGCCATCATGATCTCTTGCTGTGCTATTTCTTGGGCAACTGTTGATTATCAAGTAGCTTTAAGAAAATCCTTGCTTGATAAAAATCTTCTTAATGGCCTCTGTCCCAAACTCACATATCTCCTTTATAAGTTGTTTACATTATTATCTTGGATGCTGAGTGTTGTAGTTCTTTTTTTCTTAAATGTTAAGATTGCTTTATGTCTTTTGTTATTTTTTTGGTTTTTAGGTATATTGTGGGCATTTAAAAACCAAACTCAGTTTTGTGTCTCCATGATTATGGAGTTCTTGTACAGGATTGTTGTTGGATTTATTCTTATTTTTACATTTTTTAATATTAAGGGACAGGATACCAAATGTCCGATGTCTTGTTATTATATTGTAAGGGTACTGGCAACATTGGGGATATTGATTGTGTTGTGGCTGTGCCCACTTTCTATTTTTAATTCAGACTATTTTATACCTATCAGTATTATTATAGCTCTTACTCTTTTCCTTGGAATTCTTCTTCTTATTGTTTATTATGGGACTTTGCATCCAAAGAGAAGTGAAGAAATGAAACCTGATGAAATTGATGGAAAACCAGCTCAAATAGATTGTAGAATGAAGTATTTCCTAATGGAATAAGCTATTTATTTATGAGAAATATTTTCTCATTTTTTGTTTCATTGATTAGTAAAGAAAATGTGTGTGTGTGAATTGTTTCTTAGTTTTGCTTTCTTTAACTTGAGATCAGTTATAGCACATTATTTATGAATGTGAGAGTATATTAATATTTTTATGATTTAAATTAATTTCTCATTTAGTTTTGAAGATCCTAAGAACTTAGATATATTTGCCTGTTGTCTGGCAGAGTACCCATTCTGAGCCTGAATTGAAAGAAATGGTCTAGCTCCCATAATTAGAAGGCTGGAATTAAGCTTTCTTTCAGCTTTTGACCCATTTTCCTGAAGTAAAATGAGGAATTTATTGTGGAGAACTGCAAAGGGAAGTGAGCAGAACCCTCATTCTTCTCTCCTGTATTTTCCTTGATTTGGTGCGTATATTGAGTTGGAAACAGACAGTTGAGGAAAAGGGAAAGGAGGGGATGAGGAAAAAAACAAAATATAAAGTTTACCATTTTTAGTGTATAGTTCAGCATTGTTAACTATATTCACCTTGTTATGCATCTCTGTAACTTTTACATCTTACAGAACTGAGACTCTGTTCCCATGGAACAACTTTCCATTTCCCTCTCTTTTTACACCCTGGCAGTCACAACTCTTATTTTTTGTTGCTATATATTTGACTACTTTAGATACTATATATAAGTGGAATCATACCGAATTTGTCTTTCTCAGAGCCCCACTTCTCTGTTTCACAGATGAGGGACATGAGCCCCAGGAGGAAAGAAGCTCCAGGTTTTTAGTTAGTAGCCAGTTGGGACTGGATCCCAGGTGACCCGCCCATTATTTCAACATCATTTGCAATAAACCATTGTTTAAAAAGGTTAGGTATGGGGAAAGGATTACTGCAATACAAATTTTAGTTCCTTTTGCTATAGTTCTATGAAAGCCAGAATCTGAAATTTTCATTTGAAACAGTTTTGAGAGCTGTGTGAACTAACCATTTTTAATGACTGTGTAAATCTTATATATCCTTTATGGATGAAGCTCCCCATTTCCTTTTTTCCATGGGATTACACTAGTTTTCAGTTATACCTCACTGATTTCTGCCTTTTCATCTTGTGCTTATATTGTTGTTGTTTTTAAATGGTAGATATATAGCTGCCCAAATAAGAACAAAATAAATTAAGATTAAGAAGATTTAAAAAAAAGAATTTGTCTTTCTGTGACTGGCCTATTTCACTTAGCATGATGTTCTCAAGATTTATTTATATTGTGTCATGTGACCAGATTATCTTTTTCTTTAAGGCTGAATTATATTCTATTGTATGTTTTCTCTATTTCACATTTACTCTATTTATACATTATTTATACATTGCTTCCACTTCCTGGCTATTATGAATAATGCTACAATGAACATGTAAGTAGCAATTTGTGTAATGGGAAAAATGGTTATAAAACTATATACCTCTGCTAATGAACTTGAATATTAAATGTCTCACACAAATCTGGATTGAATAGTCATTCCATTCAACAAACATTTTTTCATTGATTTATAGCCAAGAAACTAATGGGTAGATTCTGCTCAGATGTTTGGCTAGTTAGCAAGCTCTTAAATGAATCTTTAATAGCTAATAAATTTCCTTTTATTCACGTTATTTTTTCTATTTCATTCAGTCATATATATGTATATATACATATATATATGTGTATATATATATGCTAATAATGAACAGGGAAATTAAGAAGACAACCCAATTCACAATTGCTTCAAAAAGAATAAAATACCTAGGAATAATTCTACCCAAGGATGTAAAAGACCTGTACTCAGAAAATTACAAGACACTGAAGAAAGAAATTGAAGATTCAAATAAGTGGAAGCAAATACAGTGTTCATGGATAGGAAGAGTCCATGTTACCCAAAGCAATCTATAGATTCAATGCAATTTCTATCAATATTCCAATGACATATTTCACAGAACCAGAATAAATATTTCAGGAGTTTATATGAAACTACAAAAGGCCCTGCATAGCAACAGTGATCCTGAGAAAGAAAAACAAAGTTGGAGGAATCAATGCTTCCTAGTGTCAAACTATACTATAAGGCCATAGTAATCAAAACAGCATGGTAGTAGCATAAAACCAGACACATAGCTCAATGGAATAGAGAGCCCAGAAATAAACCCATACCTTTATTGGCAATTAATATTCAACAGAGAAAGTAAGCCCATACAATGGGATAAAGATAGTTTATTCAATAAATGGTGTTGGAAAAACTGGACAGATATGTGCAGAAAAGTGAAGCTAGACCACTTTCTTCTACTATACACAAGAATAATTTGAAAATGGATTAAAGACTTAAATATTAGACCTGTGACCATAAAAATCCTAGAAGAAAAAAACATACACAGTAAAATTATGGACATTACTCCTAGCAATGTCTGATATGTCTCCCCAGATAAGGGAAACAAAAGAAAAAAATAAACAATGGGACTACACCAAACTAAAGCATTTTTGCACAGCAAAGGAATCCCTCAGCAAAGGATACAACAAACAAAATAAAAAGACAACCCACGGAATGGGAAAACATATTTGATGATGTATATGATAAGGAGTTAATATCCAAAATTTATAAAGAACTTAGAAAACTCAACACTAAAAAAATAATCCAATTAAAAAGATTCTTCCTCAGAGGACCTGAATAAACACTTCTCCAAAGAGGACATACAGATGGCCAATAGACATATGAAAAGATGTTCAACACCACTAATTATCAGAGAAATGCAAATTTAAAACCACAATGAGATACAAACTCGCATCTGTCCAAATGGCTATCATCAGTAAATCAACAAACAACAGGTGCTGGTAAGGATGTGGAGAAATGGGTACCCTTTTTTACTTTTGGTGGAATGCAAATTGGTACAACCACTATGAAAAGCAGTATGGAGATACTTAAAAAAATTAAAAATGGATCTACCTTTTGATCCTGCAATCCCACACTGGGAATATATCCAAAGGAACTCAAAACACTATTTTGAAAGAACATAAACACCCTTATGTTCACTGCAGTGTTCTTTACAATTGTCAAGATATGGAAGTGGCCCAAGTGTCCACCAACTATATGAATAGATAAAACAACTATAAGACATTTATACAATGGTATACTACTTGGCCCTAAAAAAGAAGAAAATTTTAACCTTTGCAGTGGCATGAATGGACCTAGAGAACATTATGCTAAGTTAAATAAACCAGTCAGAGAAAGACAAATACCATATGGTTTTACTCATATGTGGAATCTAATGAATAAAATGAATAAGCCAAATAGAGACAGTCAGAGAGCAGGATGACAGATATGCTGGGGATAGGTTAGGGAGTGGAGGGATTGAGCAAAAAGGAAAAAAGGCTCATGGACATGGACAACAGTGTGGTGATTGTGGGGGAAGGGGCATATAAGGAAGCAAAGTGGAAAAATACAAAATTTTAAAAAGAATATTTTCATAAATGTATCTAATGAATTAACTTTTATACACTGTATTTTTCTATACCATTCACTCACGGATATTATAGCACTTTTAAATCTCCCTAGCTAATTGTATGCTTCTTCTATATTCTGCACATATCAGAGACCTTTTGAAATTTAAGAAAAGCATGGGAATAATTATGAGCAATAGTCTCAGAAAGAAAACTCATATGCTTTGTCATGTACTAGTCAGGATTCTCCAGAGAAACAGAACAAGTTTTATATCTATATATCTATATACATCTACATCTATATCTATATATCATCTATATCTATATCCGTCATCTATCTATCTATCATCTATCTATACAGAGATACATAAGAGGGTATTATAGGAATTGGCTCAAGTGGTTATGGAGGCTGAAGAGTCCCACAGTCTTCTGTCTTCAAGGGGAGAACCATGAAAACCTATGGTGTAATTCAGTTCAGGTCTGAAGGCCTGGGAATCGTGGGGCTAATGGTGTGTGTCCTGCTCTGAATCTGAAAGCTTGAGAACTGGAAGTGCCCATGTCTGAGGGCAGGGGAAGATGGATGTCTTAACACAAGCAGCCAGAGTGATTTTGCCCTCTCTCTGCACTTTTTGTTCTATTTATGCCCTCAACAGAATGGATGACATCACCCATACTTGGGAGGGCATTTGCTTCACTTAGTTTACCAATTCAGTTGCTAATCTGAGAAAAAAACACTCCTACAGACACACCCAAAAATAATGCTTACTATCTGGGCATCCCTTAGCCCAGGCAGGCTAACACATAAAGTTAAGGCTCACATACAACCACATACTTTCATATCTACTTGAAATACAAATAGGAGCTTTCCTTACTCCAGTGGCTCTCAAATACTTAGTGTGCATCAGAATTATCGAGAGGGATCTATTAGATTTCCATCCACAGTTTCTTTTCAGTAAATCTTAGGTGGGGCCTGCAATTTCTATGTCCAAGGAGTTCCTGGATGTTGCTGATGTTGCTGGTCTGCCCATCCTGCTTTGGAACCACTGCTGACTTTTGAAGGCTATTAATAACTATTAATAAATAGTTTCAAAAGAGCCACTAGAGGGCAATGGAACCACAGACAAATTAGTTGTGCTGTTTAGTAGGTTTCCTGGTTTATGCTACTGACTACAGTATTGCTACAAGCCACAAGAATACCAAAGCCAAACGTTAATGTCCTGTAAAGTATCTTGAGGCACATTCTTAATTGTAATATAAATCAAAGCTTGTCCTTAAGATTGTGGGGGTCAGAGTTATACAATGAACTCTAACTCTGGTTGATGTCCATTCCATGACCACTGTAGATTAAAAGCTGGATTTTTCTAAGTGGGGAGAGACTACATTTTGATAATAGATTTAGTTTGTTGTGGAGAAAATTCTACATTTAGGTGGTAATTTTTCTTTTAAGACACGTACCTCTTATGTTGTGAAGGTGAGACCTAAGTACTTTAATAAAATATTAGTATGTATTCAACCTCAATCCACAGACCATAAAGATTAACAGAGTTTAGGAAATTTATAATTCCTTTCTCCTAGATATGTTACTTTGATGGTAGAAAAGGACTAGAGA